GCCTCGGCCTCCCGAGTGCTGGGATTAAAGGCGTGCGCCACCAACGCCCGGCTCAGGTGCCATTCTTTCAGAGCCATCCAACTTGTTTTCATTAAGACAAAGTCTCTCACTGGCCTAGAATTCCCTAACTAGTCTAGGCCAGCTGGCCAGGGCTGTGGAATAATCCTTCTGTACACTGCATAAATTATACTGTGATTGGTTTAATAAAGAAGCTGGAGAGGGAGAGGGGAATTACATGTGAAACAAGCCTGTTCCCTAACATGAATTAATAATAATAATAAGAGAGAAAAAATATAAAGAAAAAAAAAAAAAAGAAGAAGCTGACTGGCCCATAGCTGGACAGGATAACCATCAGAATAAAGATCTCATTGTGACACAGACCTCTCTGGTGGGGTCTCATCGGCTGAAGCTGTTTTAGATTCTAGTTTCTCCGGAATCCCCTGTGCCTAACAAAGATTCCACGTCAAATGCAGAAAAGATGGACCTGTCTAGACATCCCATGGCATGTAAAAAATAAAATTTAAATTGAAAAAAAAGAGACCCACACACCCTTCTTGTCAGTCCTGAGAAGTAGAGCCTGCCCAGGGTTCCCCGCCAGGCTGCTGGCAGAGCTGAGGAGGGAGGGCAAACACAGCCATTCTGACTCAGGGGAAGTTTTCAGGCACTTTGTATGAATTGCTAGTGAGCTTCTAGAAGATTCCGAGGGCTAATAGAGAAAACTAAAGGGGGATGTTTTTGTTGTGGAGCCAGTGACCCCAAGAGATGGGGAAATACACCAACAAGCCGTGGATGAAATTTGGTGGTCCTTCAGCTCTCTCGGCATGGCCAGGAAACAAGGCCTGGGACAGCTCGGAAGCCAGGAGAGGCCGCATGGGTGTTTAGTCAACAAGTATTCTGAGCAGAGTCTAGGAGCTAGTGTTCTCTCAGAAACCAGACATGGCATGCAGGGACACCCAGGATGCTCTCTACCCTCATCCATGCTTTCCTCATGGACAACAGAACCTGGGGTCCAACAGGCATGAGGGTGGTGGGTAAAGGAGAACCTTAGGTGCCATTCTTTTTTTGTTTGTTTGTTTGTTTGTTTGTTTGTTTTTCGAGACAGGGT